AGACTTTTCTAGACAGTCCTGTGAAACGCTAGCAGGTTCGCCACCTGTAGGTGTTAATGAACTTGGGTGTTCATTCGTTGTACTCCATCCCCCTCATGGTTGCCTTATTTAACATATATTGCTGCGAAACCCCCAAATGCATGTGTTGTCGCCCCGATGAAATATTCTAAGACTAGGTCCCTTGTGTTAGTTGTTTTAGGGACGTAAAGTGAGAATAATAGGAATGGGTAATTGTGTTATGTTGGTTGATGAAAATAAATTTAATTACTTATTGTGGGTGGAAAACCCTATATGTTCAGCAGGCTCCCAAGCCTGACCCACTCAGTTTCTTTGTATTACAGGTAGTGGTGCCAGAGCATAAGTTGGATGATTTGTCAGGATATTTTGGATTATAGACTTGTTGTAAATAATTGTTGTAAGGTCTGTATTGAAATGTTTGTGCTTTTGGTATGTTTATCGGAACATGACATCCCAAGTATTGTAATATAATGAAAAATACATTTCTTTAAGAAATGCTTTGGTAAATCTTATTTTTTATCATATTTTGTTTTGGGAACAAATTCAGAAACTTTTTTAATCAAAGGATTACTCTGAAATTATTTTAAAAGCATAAATTAAACCGGTCTTTTTTGGCCGTAATTTTAGGAATATCACACATAGCATCAGCCTATATACCAAGATACCGACCTAACAGGTCACTAAACATATCATCATGCAATAACCAGGTTAAAAATCCAAAAGAAGGGTCGGTATTGGTGCCTTTGACCCTATTGATATACTGTGAAGAACTCACGTCACAATGTCGAACGGAACTAAAAAGAACAAAGTCCTGAAACACCGCTCCAAACAGCAACATCTACAACCACCATGATCTAATTCCATAAATTCCCAAATTACCAAAATACCCTCAGAAGTCAAACTCGGTCAACCCGTGGTCAAATTCAAAGTCAACGGTCAAGGTCAACAGTCCATGTTGACCTCACTCGTCGAGTGAAGCTTACAGGCTCTTCGAGTTCCTTTAGAACTCAGAAAAGCATTAAAATCCCAATTATCTTACCGAGTTACCAAGTAACTAGTCGAGTCCATGTAGCATCCAGAATATCGGGAAAAACCCTAACCAACTCGTCGACTTATCTCACTAACTCGCCGAGTTCATGAAGAATCCAAAAAACAGGAAATCCTCATCCAACTCGTTGAGTTGACTATGCAACTCATCGAATTCCTTCAGTCCTTTTCTCATTCAGACGCTTTTAATCGAAACCAAGGCTCCAAACTATAGATCTAGCTTCCTAGGGTGTAGTTGCCACGTAAAGTTGCTAACTTTACGTGCATGCAAGGCTTCAAGAAGCTAAAACACTCAAAACTAGCCTTAGGAAGAGGTTTAGGGCATGGAGAAGGGCCAAAGCTTCATAAAGCTTGAGTCTTTATGTCCATGAGGGCCTAGAGGAGTCCAAATCTGAACTACTCACTTCATAATGTGTTGAATACTAGAAATGCCTCAATAACAAACTAGAAATGACCCTAAAATCTTGAATGAAGTGATGTATCAAGAAAACGATCAAGGTAATGACTTTTTACCTTCAAATGAATGCCAATACAATGTGGATGCTGGATCTAAGAGCCCCTTTCTCGTTCCAAGCTTCTAAATCTTCAAGTCTCTTCAAGAAATGCACCAAACACACACTTTTAGCCTCACACACACTCAAAATAGGGGTTAGCTCGATTAGGGTTTGCTTGTGGACGTGAAAATGTAGTAAGGAGGCTGGAGGGGAGGACTTAAGGTCCTTTAAATAGGTTTCAAACCCTAAAAATTAGAGTTTTCATGTCCAACCTCAACTCGTCGAGTTGAGTCCTTCAACTCACCAAGTTCAGTCCTTCAACTCGCTGAGTGTGTTCAAGAATCCACACAACTTTATCAGTTTCTACACGGCGATTTAGGGCAACCAACTCGTAGAGTAGGTCTATCATTATGAATATAAAAGCTTTAAAATTTATACCTGGGAATCTGGATATTGTTACATCGGGCAGGACAGATGACTATCATGTATGCTTTTATCCTTGTGATTATTGCATGGGTTTATATGGTTATATGACGTTGTTTATATGTCTACCGGGCGGGGCTTGATGTCGAGCGGGGCCCGATGTTTAGGATGCTAGTTTGTTGTGTGACTCTTGCATATGTTATGTGTTTGCATGTTTACCCGACGGAGCCCGATGTTGGGCGGGGCCTAACGACCATTTTGTATGCTACTTATTGGTGTGATATATGCTTATATATGTGTGTACAGATACCGTGCGGGGCCTAATGATTGACAGATTTGTATATCAAGCGAGACTCGATGTCGGGTGGGGCCTAATATATGTGGATATGTATGGTATCTGATATTTTGGGGAACTCACTAACCTTCGTGCTTACGGTTTTCGGTTTTAGGTTTTAGTTATTTTTGGTTCAAAAGGGAAGGGCTCGGATTGATCGCAGTGCATCCACCCATGTTTCCACATTATGATGATTTTGGGATCGTACTCTGAAAACTGTTTTCATATAAAGTACTTTTGAATAATTAGAAAAATAATAATGGTTGTTTGACTAAAAGATAATTAGTGCCTTGATTGAATTGAAAATGAAATTTTTAACTCTTGATTTTCGGATGTTACATGTTATCTTGGTCGGACGTGAAAGGGTTTACGTGACATCACTCCACCTCATCATCACGGCTAAAGAGGTGATGTTCACACCATGATATGGCTCCAACTCAACATCAAGTGGGGGTGGTGATGCCCATACTAGATAGCCTAATTTGATGACATGTCTTTTTCTTATAAATATTATATTATCTTTTCTATATATTTGGCCCTTTTATTACTTATTTTGTTCTTCCTTTCTTCTTATTCCACATGATAGAACCGATTTACAAGATCCTATAACTTAGGAAAGTTTGTCTGGTATTTGATTAAATATTTGTATTGTTGTATGATTAATGGATATCAATATACTCATAAGTACGATATTTTTTACTATTGATACTTGGACATCCATAAAGAAGAGTTACTTGTAGTTTACATAGAGCTTACCAACTTTCGATATATGTAAATTACAACTTTGTGAACCTACTATATGGATTAAATTTAATCCATGTACAAACTCCACACAAGAGTGAACTTTTAAAAACATTACATTTTGGGTCTTTATTCTTGTAAGTTATTTGCTAAAATAAATAAATAAATAAATAAATATATATATATATATATATATATATATATATATGGCTATGTTAGTTTGTTTTTTATATTTATTGTGTGCTAGAATGCACCAATAGAAATTTAGTAAATTAAATAATTATTTAATTAAATAAATATAAATATTAAATGATTTACATAATTATATGTATATTAAATGATATTCATAATTATAATTCTCATTTTATGGAAAGTAATTAAATCTGTCATTAATGTCAGCAATAACATTCTTTCAGAATGAATTTGCATTAGGTTTTTATATATGAGTTCGTATTTTGTTTCAGGACTCACTCACTTAAAATACAATAAAGTTGTATAAAATATGAAGAACGAGAGTGTATTCTAATAGAATACACTCTCATTCTGCTAGATTACACTCTCATTCTTCTAGATATGAATTCATTTTGAAAAAAAAATTATTGTTGACATTAATTACGAATTTAATTGGTTTCCATAAAAACGAGTTATAAGTATGGATAACATTTAATATACATATAATTAATAGTAAGTTCTTATTGGTGCATTCTAGCACACAATAGATATGGAAAAACATTTGAACCTACCTCTCTCTCTCTCTCTATATATATATATATATATATATATATATATATATATATATATATATATATATATATATATATATATATATATATATTAACCCAACTAACTCGACCCAGTTAACCCTAAACCCAACTAACCTGAACTTTAATGGGGTGAAGTTTAGGGTCATTAAAAAAACCGACTAACCCGACCCTTTTAACTTGAAATCCAATCGAATTGATCCGATTAATAGCCCTACTCATCACTAGATATTGTCACTTTTACAAAACCTTAAATATGGTATCAACCTATTTTTTCCTTTCTTCTTCGTTTATTTTCATCCCTACCAGCACACTACCTTTCCCCCTTTTTGCCATTCTTCACATGCTTATCATTAAACTTTCGTCATCCAATTATCTCTTACGGCAACGTCAAATGCTACCTTTTCTTGGATACCAAAAGCTTATTGGTTACATTAATGGGTCTATTAAATATTAGGGTAAATGCATAAAAGATGTTAACTTTACACAAAATTTCCATTTTTACAATGTATTATTTTTTTAAAATTGAAACATTAGGCTTTCTAAAAATAGTAATTTTGATATTATATTTTTCAATTTGTTTCAATCTTGACCATCTGATAAGTCAACTCAGTGCCAGCTCGGTCCTTGATGACATGACACTGACAATGGATGATAACGTGACAATTTTTGGTGACATCACTTTGGGATGTCAAAATTGAAAAATTAAATAAAATGTAATGATTTAATTAAAAAATAAACACAATATCAAAATTGAACTTTATAAAACTTAATAATGCAATTGACCACTATTAAACATAATATTGAGCATTTGTTTGGAAGTTCAAAAACTTTTGTGGACAAACTTTTATAGCAAGACTCACATAAATAAAACCCTAAATATTATTAAATAATTAGACAATCAACTTAAATAGTTTAGATGGTAATCTAAACACCAAATAGTTGAATAATTATACCATAAACACGTAAAAATCGTGACGTGCAACTGAAGGTGGAGATTAAGTTTATGTTGTAACTAACTCAATTTTGGATTCCATCGGTTTCCTATTTGTTATCTAACCACATCTTTTTTATTGTTTTTTACTTTTAGAAGGACTCTTTTAAGGGATTCTCCTATATAATGGCATTGACTTATCTTTCCAATTCCGAACGAAATACATACATAGCAATTATTTTGCTCCAATGGCCAACAACGACAGTCATCGATTATACAGAATTCTCAGGGATATTCAGTCATTGAGAAACATCCTCGTAGGTCTAAGCTCTGACTCGTGTAGAACGTATGGAGGTGGAGTTGAAAAAGTTTCGACAAAATCAAGTGAAGAATCTGAGAGATTCGTTTGCAGTCAACAATATCAACTCCATGATATTGAAGATGAAGGGTTGTGTTGTATCGACTCTGACTCTGAGTTTGAAGTGTTCTCTTGTGACTCCGAGTTTGAAAGCTTCTCTGAACCACCGTCACAAGACGACAAGCAACAACCTCCGTGGAACCACCAGCAACCTCCATCACTAATCAATCAACTAGATGAAGATGAAGGGAGTGACTACGTGTTTGAAGGGTTCTATTGTGACTCCGACTCAGAGTTTGAAGGGTTCTCTTGTGACTCTGAGTGTGATGCGTTCTTTGAACCACCGTCAGAATATGGTAATGAACAACCACCGTGGAACAACTAGCAACCACCGCCGCAATTAGATCAACTATTTGAAAAGTTTTATGAACCACCATCACAATGCGACAAGCAACAACCACCGTGGAACCACCGACAACCTCCCGTGCAACTAGATGAAGTAAATGGCAAATGGGTTTTTTGTCGACAGAAGCCAGATAACTCAGAGGCATGTCTGCTTGTAGTGCCCCTTTTGAAGAAGAATCCTAATTTTGATGAATTTAGTAAGTGGGTAAGTGAAGTAGAATGGTTTTTTGAGTTATTTCAAGTGCCGGAGGATGATAAAGTAGAACTCGCAGCCTTGAGATTGGGAGAGGCTTTCGCATGGTCGGAACTAATGCAAAATATAAGCATGGAATTCAATAAACAACCGATTCAACTGACTCAAGAGTGGACATTGATGAAGGATATGTTGAAGGCTCGATTCTTTTCTCCCTAACCATGCATGGAGTAGCAAATTTAAAAGTATATTTCTATTAGGTTTTGAGTAGGAGTTTTAATTTTGTTCATCAAACGTTTGTTTTTCTCGATTATTTTAAAAAGATTTAGTCAAAAATTATTATTATTATTATTATTATTATTATTATTATTATTATTATTATTATTATTATTATTATTATTATTATTATTATTATTATTATTGTTTGGTTTAACTGCGATTTTTAATTTAAAGGCCGAGGCCTGTTTGTTCAAGTTTTAAATTTAAAATTAAATATATTACTAAGATATAGTATTTATTAATAAATAAACAAGCTTTCGTAGATGAACGTTACGTTATTTTTTTATATAATAAGGAAAGATTGCATAAAAGTAATAAAGATATCAAGTCAATTTACATTATTTATATTCAATTCATCTAATATACTTTCAAATTAAATTGAAAGCAATATAAAATTCAATTCCCTTTTATGTCAACCAACCAAATGCACCATAAAATTTCAATTCATTTGAATTTTAGTTTCTTCGAATTCCGATTATTTTGATTAATTCTATTTCATTAAAAACATTATGTCAATCCAACACCCACTAATTGTTCGTATCTACAACTATCTATTACCATTTTAGTTTCCATATGGGTTGAAAGGTGTTAGGGATACTTTTTCAAATTAAAAAATCATTTTTATGTAAAGATTTTTTGATTTATGTCTTTTTTTCGAAAGTAAATTTTAAAATGTGTTTGTATAAATTTTTGAGGATAAAAAACATCAAAATTTGATAAAAGTCACGAATTCATGACTTCTTAATCATCTTATATTTCTTCTCAAAAAACTAATTTAAAAGATCTTTTGAAATTACCAAACCGTTTTTTAAACTTTTGACCTTTTGAAAAAACCAAAAGTCCAAAAAGGCATTTCAAAAGAAATGTCAAACACCCTTGAAGTGTCGAACTCGTTCATCTTTTCATTAAACAAAATATGTCATGAGGCTACAAGATGTGGCCTTTTGAGTGTGACACTCAAATATTTATAATATGAAGTGGAGGTGATGTTCTTATGTTATAACATGATGAGAGAGAGAGAGAGATGAATGAATGATCATTTGAGAGCTTAGAGTTTCCCGAAAACCAAACGAGGGTTGTTAGAATAAAAAAAATAGAAGGTTGAGATGTTTTGTGGCGTTGTTGTATATATTTGAAAAAAAATAAACACGGGTGTATGATACTAAACTAAATCTAAGAGCATTTATGGTACTGAAAATCCTTCCCCCCAAATCAACCGATGCCCTCTTTCTCTCCCAAATCCCTCGATCCTCTCATAGCTTCATCGTCGTTCGTTCCCTAATCCAGAACCAGTGTCTGATTTATCAATGGTCTCATCTGTCTACTATATCCCTTATTCATTGAAATGAGGAAGGTGAACGTCGAAGCTCTCTCTCTCTCTCTCTCTCTCTCTCTCTCTCTCTCTCTCTCTCCAAAACCAACATCGTGTCTCCATATTATCAGAGATCTCTTCATTTTCTCCCTCTGTAATTATAACGCCCATAGATTCGGGTTAATCAATTTGGAGACAACAAGTGTCAAAAATGAATTCTTGATAGAAGATTATATATAATAAATAATCTTAACTAATTTATAGTATGTTTCACAAGGGTTCCATACATATAAAGAACGTTGAAATCTGAGTTATAACGAAGAAGTTATGACCCGTCGAAGTTTTACGGCTAAACCGGCACGATACCGCTTAACGTAAAAAGTGAATTTTTGATAAGTTACTTTTTATCCTTAGGGATCTAAATGAAAATCATAGTATATATTAAACTGAGAAAGTACATAAAAAGAATATCCAAATCTGACTTCGTATGAGGAAGTTATGATTTTTCTAAGATTTGACATAGTAGTATGCAGCCCGGAATTCAAATTTAATTCAAATTTTAGATCGATCAATTTTTGGCCTACACAACCCAAACGAGAATTGAAGATCTCATTAATAGGATTTCAACGATAAAAAGAAAGACAAAAACGGAGTCTGTATGTAGAAGTTATGAATTTTACACGGTTGTCAAACAGTGTAATCTTCTCATATTGTTAAAATTATAACCGGTCATGAATTAGCCGATAGAGTCAAAAGGAGAGTTGTATCTCTTCAATACCTACGCATGGATATAAGGAACATCGAGAACGGATCTCGTATGCGAAAGTTACGGAATTTAGAAGTCGGAATGGTGCTGCTGCGAAAGGGGTGATGTGGCTTAATATGGACCATTGCTTCCTCCCCACGCCTTGCCACCAGATGGTGACACTTGGCACTCAACTCGAAGAATTGGAGGCTCAAACTCGCCGAGTTGGGCCATTTTTCAGCCTATAAATACCATGCGAGAGCACCCCATTTTCCTCAAACCTTAACCATTCTCTCTCTCTCTCTCTAACTTCTCTCTAAACCTCTCCTAAAGCCCTAGTAAGTCCTAATATTGCTAGAGGAAAGCCATGGAGCGCTAGAAGGCTCCGAGAAGAAGAGCTTTTGGCTTGGAAGTTCTGCCCCCGTAGAGCCCGATTCCTATCCAAACCTCCTGGTAAGTGAGTTATGATTACCCTACTTCAAGTATAGCTTATGTTTAAGTTCAATATCGTTATTATGAACTTATAAACAATAAATATATTATAAAATATAATATACAAAGTGTTATTATAATATCTTTTAACCACTCATGGTACTGGGAATCTGGTTTGAAGGGCCGCATAGGGTTGTTGGATTTTAGAAGTGTTATAATGCCAAAATAGCCATGCCCTCCGGTGTTTCATGTCTGGTCCCTGTTTGTACATAGTGGTTGAAAAGTATTGTTTAACACTTATAAAATAATAATGCTCGTAATTAGTCACGATGAATAATTCCTGAGTCTGGAATCATCACTTTAACAAGTGAGTGCATAGTTACTTTCATCTTACATATAGATATGAAGTATTTAATATAAATTACGTGCTATGTGTGTATATTATCTGTGTTCTTGATATCTATGTTGGATGAACAAAATATACATGTTTTACTTGATTTAAATTGTATACATATTTTATACCTATAATTATGATGGGTAAAATGAGTAAACTAAAGTTGAGATGAGATGAGAGATGAAAGATGATATAGATGAACATTGGCAGCTATGAACTAAGTATCTGATAGATAAACCATGGTAGCTATGGACTTAGTGCATGATAGATAAATTCTGACAGCTATGGACTTAGTGCATGATAGATAAAGCCTGACAACTATGGACTTAGTGTCAAATAGATAAACCCGACAACTATGGACTTAGTGCCTTACAAATGAACGTTGGCAGCTATGGATTTAGTGCCCAATAAATAGATATTGGCAGCTATGGACTTAGTGCCTAACAGATAACATTGGCCGCTATGGAGTTAGTGCCTGTTGGATGAACCGTGGCAGCGATGTACTTCGTCCTTATTCCTTAGGAAAATCCTTAGGAATGAATGAATGATGAATAGACAATTCTTAAGGTGGATCCTTAAGAATAAAGAAGATAATGGGTATGGGAAGTTGGGTTAATTGTTCGATGATGAAACATAATAACTTTATTATTGTGGGTTGAAAACCCTATGTACACACCAGGTTTCCCAACCTGACCCCCTCAGTTTACTTTTATCACAAGTATCGATACGAAGCTACATTACACTGAGAGATTTAAGCAATGTTTTAAAAAACCAGTTTAAACCGGTCGGTCGAACTGGTTAGACCGGGAACCGGTGGAGAGAGCGGTACAACTATCACCGATTTTATGTCGATTTCTGAACCGGATTGAACCGGCCGGTTTTTAGAAAAACCTAGTTGAATCGGTCAAAATAAACCGGTTGAACCGGTTAAACCGAATAAAAACATATGAAAAATAACCATTTACACAATAATCTTTGTTGATTATTTTTCAAATCTATTTAGTTTTCTATAAATAAAAACATAAGGTTAATGTTATAAAGTTTTTTGATGTGTTTTTATTCTTCTAAAACTATATTTTGTTTCTGTATTATTCTTTATTTTTTTTTTGATGTATATGAATTTATGTAAAACACTAAAACTTATGGTTATGTGATATTTTAATGTATTTGGATTCATCTTCAACTTATTTGTATGTGTATTTTTAATGTTTGAACTTGTAAACATCAAATTCATGATTTATATATGTATGTATGTGTAGTAAAATAGGAAAAACTAGAAAAATATAAAAACCGGTTGACCCGGCGGTCGAACCGGTTGAACTGGGAACCGCTCACCATACCGGTTCAACTAAAAAACCGGTTTTTATAACATTGGATTTAAGGATATGTAAATCACTAGTTTAAATGAATGTAAGGTCTTTTTATGCTTATGTTTCTGTACATTCCAATGTTTTAATATAAGCAAAATACATTTCTTCTGAAATACTTTGATAATATATTTACCATGTTTACTGGGAACAAATTCCGCAATATTATTCTTTAAAATGAATACTCTGGTTTTCAAATAAGCATAAATAATTTTTTTTAAATGACTGTAAATTTAGGGATGTCACAGTTGGTATCAG